CCTGACATGAATGCTTCATTATGGAAAACTTAAAGGATTATGATTTAGGCTTCTGGCACTTTGAGGTCCAAGTGTGTAAATGTGTGTTATTTCAGAGCCCCTGATTCTATGCATTTGATAGATTTGACTGAAGCATCTTTCTCCCAGCTCAGACTAACCCCAAAGGCCAGCTTCAGTTCTCATTTGTTGTTGTTTCAATGTATGCCTTCATGCTAGGTTACAAATGTAACTATTAAGTCACAGAACATAGGTTCAAGCTTGAAATACAGAGCGTAGGATGGAATGTACTAGGCAATTAACATGGGGAAGATTGGAAAATACAGCTAAAGACACAAGAGTGATACTATATAAGGACATCCAACTTTTCTTGTTACTATGACATTGGCTATCCTTAACACAGCATTATGAATGATAGCAACACAAGACATTTTTGAAGATTTGTTTAGCTTAGTAAACTCTGAAGTCCTGAAATCCAGGCACGCTACACTAAGTATTACAAAGTATACAGCAGAGTGTTTAAAGCTTAAAAATATTTTATTTACACTTCTCTTTATACACATTTTTATACAATTTTTTTTTTTTTTTTCAGTTTAAAAACTGAATAGAGCACAAATGCAAGTCTGAGCATACTGTACCCACAGCTAGGGAAAGTTACCTTCTGCCAAAAAGAGACAAGAAAAAAGGCTTTTTAAAACAGTTTAAAAGAGGCAATCTTAAATTTTTTCAGATAAGTATATAGCAGCCCTGATGTAGTCATTAGACAGTTAATCCAAATGTACATATGAGGTCACATATATATATATATATGTATATAACATGAATTTTATATAGGAAAAGTATTTCCAATTGCTAGACATAAACACAGCAGACTTCGAAAATAACTTTTCCTGTTATCAAATACATTCCTTTCAATACAAACAATCTGATATTGTACACTAGAAACAAGTGGGATACTATAGCAGAATTGCATTCTCCAGCATATAATAATATACTTTAAAAAGATCTAAAAAAATAACAATATATAGGGAAAAATATTTAAAATAAAAAACATAGCTCACTCTTCCCTTCACCTGTTCCCATAACTGACGTAGAAGTTAGGTGTGTTCCACTGAGGTAATAAAAATCCCCTAAGCACAGCTACAGTACAGTCCTACATAACACTGCATCTCCTAGACTTACAGCAAAGCTTTCTCTACCGGACCCATAAATAAAATCTACCATCTGCAAATAGAAGTGGTTTTCCCCTAGCTACCAACTCAATATTAATCGAAAGGTATTTGACCATGGAAAGCTATTTTAAAAGACTATCTAAATGTTAATTCTAATTTGGGAAATAAAAAGATAGTAGCGATCTAGAGAAGCTTTGCACAAAGAAGTAGGTTTTTCTGCCACCTGCCTGCTTTTATAACATTGGCCTACAGAAAGGGAAAGTCTAAACTGTTTACAAACATCCAAAAATAAAATACAGATGCAAAAGTAGTCACTAATATTTATTTTAAGCAGCTTCAAATTGCTTTACAAACAGTAAAACCTCAACATGTTAGCTACAGGACACTGGCACGCTCTGTTCTAAATGGATTACGTGCATCTCCCCATTCTGTTCTCCCCCGTATTCCTTAGGTGAGTCCTGCCAAACGGGACACACCATGCTGACTGAAGTAACTTCACCAAGTACTTTTTACTAAATGAAGAACAGGCTGGATGTTTTCTTTGATTACCAAACCCTGTAAGCACTTAGACATGCATTTAATCATGTTTGTGCCTTTATGCTTTCTTTTAAGTAACTTAGATCTTTATGCATTCCTTATATTGGACTCTTCACACGTGTAAAGCCTGCATTTGAAGCGTTAAAAGAGTGAGGGGCCCAATTCACTACTTTTCTAATGAAAAATACCTTTAAAAGGCAAAACACCTCTACAAATGTGATCTTCTCTATTTCTAAAAAGACCTTGCCATTTACAGAGGCGAAAGAAATTTATTTTTAGGGTCATTTGCGTCTCCCCACAACGTGTACCTTCATTTCACAAAAGAATAGACATAATGAGCTAAGCAGTATTCTTCTTTTCATTTTTACATTTGTACCTGCTGAATGTTATCCTTCACTTCCTGAACATCAGTGCTTCGTTCCTGATGCAAATATGTACTGTATTATCGGCAGGAAAAAAGGCAGCCCTTGTGTTTGTAAGGCAGGAGGTCTGTAAGAAATAATGGCTGCAAGCCTCAGAGACCAGAGAAATATTAAAGTCACAAACCCTTAAAACTAGTATGAACAGGTCTGCTGCCACAACTGCAGAAAGTGGGGCATCCGTATGTTTCAGAGGAGGTAACAAAAGCAGGTTGCCAGGTACGTGATACCACAGCTACCAGCCCCTCTCGCTGGCAGTGCTTTCTGAAATAGCAGATCCTTAGAATAATTACTTACTGCCTCCCTCCAGTTGAATTAAAGGGGAAAGAATTTCAAAAAGGTTTTTTTCAGCCTAATACCTCCCACTATGAAACCACTGCCAACACCTCATGGGGAAAAAATAAGCTATTTCTTCTTTACGTAGTAGTCTGAAAAGAATTATCCGTTCCATTAAAACAGAGATAGCAGCAAGCTGAATGGCAACAGGCAGTGTTCAATCAACTCACAGAAACACTATGCTTTTTATCCATTCTGGCTCATTTGGAAATAAAACTCTTTCCTGGAGTTAGATGCTAAATGAAGAAGTGAAGCCAATCATTTTTTTGCTATAAGCATGAATTAACTAGACTGTAACTCACTATGTTCACCTTTTCTTAAGAAAAGGCAAGTACGCTTGCAATTTTAAAGGAGGTCATATGTTAAGTTTTAAACATCTAGGCAAGATCTGATTTGCAGGTGTTGCAGGAAGGGCGGAGTGGAAATAGATGAAACCCCGCTCAAACTTACCAATCAAAGATTGCAACTTACATTCTTGACAAATGAAAGATGCTTTTAAAATCCTCCCTCTTTTTACCCACTTTACTTTTGTTTTTATTTTAACACTTAACAATCTGGAGCTAAATACAAAAACCAAACAATCCAAAACTTTCAATAAAGTAGAAGGTACCCCTCTGACATAGAACATAACAGAAATAACTACTTCACAAGTTCCACTGCAGTGGAAAAGAGAACATAATCCTCAAATTCATGCTTGAAACAATAAAAACATGGTAGAAACATGAATTAACAAAACATTCTCACATACCCCTGTGCTATAAACCCAAGCAAATTCCAATCATTTCTGAATCTCAAAAGTTTACAGCCAGCTTCTTGAAGACAAGATTGCATGGAGGCTCTAACCAACAGTTCAAGCTAGAATTTCACAATCCTGAACAGTATCTTTCAGAATTGGACAGCTGGAGTTGAACAGGGACTTAAAAGCAGAGCACCTAAAAATGATCTGGTTCTTAATGCTTCAAGTGTCAATATGCACCAAAGCCTTTACTAGCAGTTGCTTTGCCTACAAAACTCAGAAGTTGCTTAAATACAGACCTGAAACATAACTTGAAATACCTCCATTGTTACCATGACATCCAATTAAGTCTTAAGTAACATCCATTTACTACACTTGAATCATGGAAAACCAGATTCCCAGAACTACATCCATTTCCCAGACAAGCCCTTGTGGTAAAATCCCATATGCTACAAGGGCTGCTCCAAAAGTAATGCCTCCTGTTTTATTATGCTGGCCTACAACATCAGAGGTGGATGTTGGTAGTATGGCAGTATATGCTGAACCTTCCCACCCATATTCCATTCCCTTTTGTTGCTGTGTGACAAAATACTGCATAGGGGCAGCCTAACATGGAAGTGCAGGTGAAATAATTGTGCGAAATTGAATTCCTCCATGTGGAAAAAATGGCACCCACTAATGTACAACACTTGCAGAACGTTTCTGGAGATCCAACAGTGGATATGAGCACAGTGAAGTGGTAGGTGGTGCATTTTAGCAGTGGTGAGTGACACAGAAGATAAGCCTCATTCCGGATGGCTACACACAGATGTCACACTACGAAATTCATCCACATGAATCTGCAGATTATAATCAGGAAACTGTATAGGATAAGTATCTACTTCAATGTGTTGGAAATAATGTTGAAATATCACAAAGTTTGCACTAAGTGGGTGCCAGAAATGCTCACACAGGAAGAACACTGTATGAAAGTTTGTCAGGACCTACTGAACTAATATGAGGCTGAAGGTGACAGTTTCCTCAACTGCACCATTACCAGTGATGAGATGTGGTGTCAGCACTGAGAGACTGAGTCAAAAATGCAGTCCTTGGAGCAGCAAGATGTGAATTTCCTATCAAAGAAAAAGACAAGACACAGCCCTCAGCAAGTACAGTAATACCTTTTGGGATAGGAAAGGTGATCTGTCTGGATTTCCTGGAATCTGGACAAACCATCAACTCTGACCCATACATCGTGATGCAGACTAAGCTGAAGGCTCCAACTTCCAGAGTTAGGCCAGAGAAGAAGACAACCTTTCTCCTGTTACACGGTAACTCCAGGCCCCCATACCTGTTAAGAAGACCATGGATCACACTGCCAATCTTGGCTGGACCACTCACCATGTAGTCTGGATTTGGGGACTTCTGATTTCCATCTGTTCAAGCTGAAGAAAGATGGACTGCATAGGCAACACTTTCAATGCTGGGGAACAGTGGGTCACCTCCACTGCAACAAATTTTTACAATCCTGGCATGCATGCTCTTGTTCATTACTGTTGAGAACGCATAGCTAATGGTGGTGACTGTGGTGAAAAGTAGTTTTGTAGATCAGAATTTGCTCTATCAAATTGTGCTCCTTGTATATGTTATAGTTTCCATGAATATAAATAGGAGGCATTACTTTCAGAGTGAGCTATGTATTGTTAAGTCCCCTTGAAGCTTACTCAAGCAGGATTAGATTTTTGCTGCCCCGTACATTTATTAAGAAATGAGGTTGTGACAAAAAGAGTAAGAATAGTAAAGAAAAAAGGTGTTTTTTTTGCTTTGTTTTGTTTTTTGTGCCCTAATATTCTTTGAGATAGGTACAGAACCACCTTTTTACTTGCACACAGCCAGCACCTACTGGAATCAGGTCATCTCTGCACCCACAAAGGACAATGTACACACAAATCTCACAGTAGAACTGAAGTTTTAGTATAAATGAAGTTGGCTTTAAGTTAGACCACTAGGAAAATAAATTATATTTCTCACTCATAAAGACTTAAATTTAAAAGCAAGCCTTAGTCTGCATCAGAAGGCTGAAAATCAGTATTTGGTCCTCTCACTACCGGCATAGATAACCTTAATACAGCTATGATGGCATAAATTCTCCTTCCTGTTAAAACTTATAGAAAGAAAATGCTCAATAAATCATTTTTTAAGAAAAAAAGATTTACTGATCTGATTTAGATGATCACATCTCAACCCAGAACATAATTACTACAAAGAAATCATGAATTATATAGATGAGGAGTTGCACACGTTGTTTTAACTTCTGTTGATGATTTAAAATTTAGTTTAGGTAAGTAGGTGTTATTTTTAACACAGGACATTTTGCAGTGATTTTGGTCCCTCTGCAAGTGCATTCTTCTGAACTCCCTGAGTACTGTACATTCCTCTTCTACAGTGATTTTTAACTGGAAGATGCTGAATAAAGTCGATTTGCACTGCTGTCTATTAAGTCTACTGCTTAAAGAAAAGCAAAGTAGCATAAGACTTTACAGAAGATGCAAGCGCATGTTTCAGCATTTTCTCCCTACACTCCTGAATTAAGTGTAAGCCTTTGAGTTACCCACATTTCTCCTTCGAATTCTATTAGTGATTGTTTTTACAACATTAAAGAAAGTAAGAATTGAATTGTCATTATTTATACCTTGGCAAATCATTCTTACCAATATCTGCAAGTTAACACAATGGAGTTATTAAAAGCCCTCAGGAACAGCACATTTCATTTCAGGCACTATGAGGTCAGTAGCTACAGCTATGAAGGTTGTTATTTTTTTTTGTAGAAACACAAATGGTAGTAGCCATCCAAACACCTAACTCAAAACACAGTAGTTCACAGCAGCAAATAATTAAAAAAAACCCTACTATTAATAAAAGATTTATCACTTCTATACGAATACAAGCAAAGCCACTGCTGAGAATACACTATAGTACATCCAGTTCTGAAAATACCTGTGGGTCAAAGCAGTGCTGGTGAGCATTTGCTTACTGACATTTTCCATTTTCATAAAAAAACAAGACTGGCAGCACATTCACACATAAAACAAACTCAGGTAAGATGTTTTTAGTTTTTTAAAATAATTTATAAAACAACAAATTATTAAGAGTTCATTACGTAAAATCAGTATAAGAATTTTAAAGTTACTGAATCAATCAGTATATGCTAAAGATATTCTGATACCAAATGAGGCTTCCAGTTATGTAAGAACTTTGACTTATTTAGCTCATTAATGGATTAAACTACACCTTAAATTTAACAGATATGGCTGAATTTCTGCACTGGTTTAAATATAGCTGCATGTAAAAAGATTTTTTTTTTTTTTTTTTTTACAGTGTATATGCATGTGTATGTACATACTTTACTTACCAACAAACATAATGCAGACAACAGAAGGCAGCACAGAAATAGTGTTTTAAATAATAATATTTTTTAAAAGTTAAAGTTTTTTCAATTCAGTAGAAAATGTGTAATTCACATTTTGGCAGACTTACTAGTACTAATATACAAAACTTGGAAAAAAACACATGCAAGGAGATTGAGCTTATAGTTAACAGTATTTAAGGGAAAACAGAAACACCTCGCAGATGTGAGAGTACTTTGCAATTAATGGGAAGAGCATCCAAACACAACATAAAACACAAAAATGGTTTTAGCTTTGTTCTTTTAAACTTAGTTGTATCCTACTACAGCTTATGAGTTCTACTTCAATGCTCAATAGAAAAAGACAATCAGGCCTTTCTTCCTTCCACAAATGTTTTGTTAAATTCAATTGATTTCAGAAGAAATCTGCTACCGTGGCCACAGGAAAACAAAAAAACAAAAAATCAAACCAGTATGGACATGAAATGCTATCAAATGAATAAGCACACCCAAAAATACATATTTTCTTTTCCCTGTTTACAACTGCATTTTGTTAAAACAAAACAAAAAAAAAAATCCCACAACTTTTACAGTATCAGACCAACTATTGGCTTTTCTAAGAAACTTGGTAAGTATTCTCCCTGTAAATCCTGTTTCCATTATGCATTTAGCAGTTGTCCTTACACACAACATGCTCATGTCTCTGAAGGAATTCAACTAGATTGTTATGTTAGCTGCTCCAAAAGTAATGCCTCCTATTGTATTATGTTGGCCCACACTGTTGGAGGCAGATGGTGGTGGTATAGCAGTAGAAGTTGAACTTTCCCTCCAATAGTCCATTACATTTTGTCGCCATGTGACAGATGACAGCAGACAGGCAGTCTGAGGAAGTGGGTGTGAAGTCTGTGTGACTGGAATTCCTCCAATAAAACAGGAAACAATTGCACCCACTGACATTCACTGACACATGCTGAACGTTTCTGGAGATCAACAGTGGATGTGAGCACAGTGAGGCAGTGGGTGGCACATTTCAGCAGTGGTAAGTGATGTGAAAGACAAGCTATGTTCCAGATGGTTGTACACAGCTGTCACATCATGAAATGAAGAGTGTCTCAACCAGACCATCTGCGTGAATCAGTGAGTTATGACCAGGAATCCAGTGCAAGGCTGAAAGTGACGGTTTTCTGGATTGCATTACTGATGATGAGATTTGCTGTTAAAATTTTGAGCCAGTGTCAAAACAGCAGTCCATTAAGCATGAATTCCTCAAAAAAAAAGTTCAGGATGCAGCCCTCAGCAGGTAAAATATGTTCACAGTCTTTTGGGATACAAAAACAGCGATCCTTCTCGATTTCCTGGAACCCAGATAAACCATGAGCTCTGACTGCTCCATCATAACGCTGATTAAGCTGAAGGCTCAATCCAGAGTCAGGCTGTAAAAGATCAACAAAAAATACTTTATGACTTTTTGGGGTGTGCTTGGTATGTCTCAAATACTTGCAGTGCAAAGCTGTTGCCATGACAACTAGCTGACAGGCGGGACGTGACACAAACCAAAAAAGAAGACAGCCTTTCTCCTGTAACACAGTAACTCCATGCCCCATACTAGTTTGAAGACTGTGGATCACACTGCCAATCTAAGCTGGACTGTTCCACCACATCCATAGTATTACCTGGATTTGGGTCCTTCTGATTTCCATTTGTTTGAGTCGATGAAAGACAGACTGCACGGACAACATTTTCCTATGAACTATGCCATCACAGCAGCCGTGAAACAATGGGTCAGCTCCGCAGGTCCAGGTTTTCACAAGCACAGCATGCAGGCTCTTGTTCGTTACTGTCGAGAATGCATAGCCCATGGTGGTGACTATGGTGAAAAATAACGTTTTGCAGCCAAGAACTTGCTCAATCAAGTAATGTTACCGTGCTCTTTGTATATGTCATAGTTTCCATGGAAATAAATAGGAGGCATTACTTTCGGAATGATCTACTTTTTTCTGACAAATATGATTCAGCTTTTCATATTTCACTGAGAGTGTTTATTCTGTTTCAGCTGCAACGTCTAACATGTTCCAAAACATATTCAGGGAAGTGCAAGCTGCAGACCTGTAAGCCATCCAGCTTGCAGGGCATCCTTGGGTATTCATCCTCTTTCCACTTGTTTTCCTCTGGATCAAAGGTGAGAATTGAGTCACTGTAATGACCATTGTAACAGAGGCCTCCAAGAACCATTATCTGTTTGTCCAGAACAGCTACACCATGACCACTCCTACCGATTGGCATAGAAGCCAATATAGTCCACTGATCAGTATCAGGGTCATAAACCTCTGTAGATGGACATCCTTGAGATTCAAAGGAAGCCCTGAGGATCACACAGACACCTCCAAAGACATAAAGCTTACCATTGTAAGAAATCATTTTGTGAAAGCATCTTGCATAATTCATTTTGCATTTGTTCTCCCAACAGTTAGTGACCACTTGAGTTCTCCTTGTTCGCTGCTCTACTGTCCCTTCTTTACTGGGATCAAATACACACACCTGCTTAGAAGTTGAAGACGATGTAATTCCACCAGTTATATACAACTTGTTACCCAGCACAGTTCCTTCATGTCCATATTTATTGACTGGATAGGGATCTACAAATTCCCATTTATCTTCAGTAATATCATACCGTTCAGTTGAATAAAAGGTTTCATCCCTGGTTCTCCCAGCCACTGCATAAACGTACCTCCCAATAACTCCAACAGCAAACTCGGAACGCGGGACAGACATGTCTGCCATTCGTAACCAAGTGTTTTGTCTTGGGTCATATCTAAATACTTTGGATGAAGCATGAAACTCACCGTCTGGCCCCAGTTCTTCCCCACCTAACAGGAACACAAAGTTATTCACAATGGCAAGGCAGTCTGGTCGTAAAGGTACTTGAGGACCCTCTAGTTCCCACCAGACCCTCGGTTTGTGCAAGAGAAGAATTTTACTGTTTACCATACTGTGTCCTATCATTCCTCTAAACACGGCAGTCTGGGGTTTGGCAGAACGAATTTTGTTCGATTTCATTTCCATCAAAGGCTGCTGGTGAACGCTATGAAAGTAATTCATGGCTTGGTCAACCTCATGTCGCAGCTGCCGGGAGTATCGGTAAAACTCTGATGTTTTTACCTATGAATACATTTAAAAGATATTAAAATTCTGACCAAGAGAGACAATTCAGAAAACCTAAATGGCTACGTGTAATTTAAAAATTATTTTACTTTGTTTAACTCGGGTATTTTCAACAGCAATTGCATTCATGTATGGAGGTTTAAGATAACGTACAGTTATTCAAAATCTACAAGGCAATTTACTGATTAAAAGCACAGTGGCTAATGTTGTCACTGGAACACTCACACACAAAATTTAAGCAGAGATTATGCACAGGTGAAATGCCCAAGTCCAAAAATCATTATTCCTTCTTCCCAAGAAAGCCTCTTTACATCTTTTGTTTCATTAATGAAATGCCTAAGTTAAAAGCGTACTATTTCCCTGATTTTTAAAGATGTCCTGCACACCCATTCTGTGTTTACCTAAGTCTACTCTAGACTGATTTCTAATGAAGTCTCACAACAGAGCCTAAGTAGGTATTCCCAAACACTACACTCTGCTCACAGGACTATTGTGATAGAAAGGCAAGATTCAGAATCCCTTCCTTCAGAACATGCAATCACATTTTTCACTCTCCAAGGTTCCCTCTCTGTACATCTCCTCAAGCTAACACATACCTTTAATGCAAGAAGAAAACATCAATCAATATTCCTTTGCTTGCGCATTTTATTGGTAAATTGTGGAGTTAAGTTTGAACTTCCACTTCCCAAGTGAGCCTTACAATCTATGTACAGCTGCCCAGTTATGACACACGCCTCACTGCCAGTCCTCAATTTGAAGAGCCTGCTCAGATTTTCTTAAAGAACAATTATAAGACTCTACTTACTATCTAAGCTAATTTGAGTTCCTCCAGCTTGTCCTGCGATGATTCTAAAACACATCCTCTGATTGGAACGTTCTGAACATTTTTATTTACCTAGCACCAAACAGGTTTTGGATTACCACGTGACTCTCTTCAAAGATGCTTCACTCTTCCTGTACAGACAGCCTTGCCTCACCACAGCATTCTCACTTATACCACTAAAACAAATTAAAACAAAACAAAACAAACCAACCTAACAAAAACAAAAAGCTAAATATTGCCAAATTGCTCAAATACTCTATAAGATTTGATCTTTCACATAAAACTGGACTGCCTTCAAAAGCTCCATACACCATTAATTCCTACCACCTCCAAAACAAGGAGCAATGCTTGAAAAAAAAATGTCACGCCACTCCAAAATTTCAAAACAACCACGAGAAAACACGAGAAGATAATATATTTCAGTTTCTGTTCCCCCACCCCTTTCCATTCCCTTTCCCACGGGACAAAAGCCTGTGTCACCAGCTATATAAGTAGCAATGGTGTTAATGAGTTTTCATGTATATGAAAAGCAACTTCAGACAGCTTCTCAAGACAAGCGAGACAATCTCTTAGTAGGTTACTACTTAACTTGGTAAGGACATCAATATAAAAGCAAAGCCCCAATCCCTTGCCTTAAACCAGTAAGGCAACAAGAAGCAAATGCATCTACCAATTATAAACAACTGTCTCAGACTGAAATATGTAGAAGTTAGATACAAGCACAGTCCTGAAGAGATACGAGTTCTCAGAATATTGAAAAAAGAAAAACAAGGTGATAACAGACTGTTTATCTATATTTCTGTAAGAAAAAATACCTGGAGGCTTCCTAGCCTTTGCTGTTGGGAAAAATGCTCTCACCAGCACAATCTCTACCATATACAAATCATACTTCTCCTGAGGCTCAAATGATGGTCTAAGATAAATGCTAGTATATGCCTACATGAGCAAGTAGAGACTGCTCACGTTTGCTTTACATTAACAAACACAAGGTAACTGTAGGACAGTTTGCCCACTTTCATACTCACACGTTCTCTTTGTGAGATCTTTCAGAATTATGCTAAAGTCCTATTCAACCCATAGTAAGGAAAACTTTCCATACACCTACACTTTTTAGTAATTTTATGATAGTTTTAATTTCTTGCGTGTATATGCAAAAAATGAAGCAACACTGAAATTTAGGTGTTTCGTTATTAAAACACAACAGTAAGTTTGGAATGTTTTAGTAAATTAAGAACACGACAGCAAGCCTTTCTCGGGAACTGCTGTCTGATACCCAAAATAGGCTGAAGGAAAACGCTCAGCATTCAAAAGTATGCTTCTGCCATTCCCTGTAAAGCAAGTAGTTGACCAAGAAATATCTAAGTGCTACTAAGTGCTAATGTATCTTTTTTTTTTTCTGTTAAGTTCAAATGAAGAAGCTCTAAAAGGCTCATGTACCCAATTAGCAGCATATGAAATCAAAGAGAATGCTCATAAGTTTGTTAAAAAAAAATGTGACAGATAAACATATACACTGAGATGAATCTTGAGGTGAAAAATATGTGCATGGTTAAGAGTAAACTATCAGCTCTGAATCGATTAGAAAAATACAAAAGCTTTACAGCATTCTCAGAGTTTAAAGAGAGACTTGCTGTTCTCCTTCCAGTTGATAAAGTTTCATTTGTGATTTTTTTTTTTTTTTTGCATTCTTCGCAATATTTCCCTTCAGTTCTCTCGATAAAATCTTCTTAAAGAGGGTCTGATAGGACATAGCATCAATGTAACCATTACCCAGAGGTGAAATATCTTATTACATTATCTACCAGTTACAGCTGCTCAATCAGACAGGCAGAGAACATCATGAATATAATGAAATGTGCCTTTCCGTAAAAAGAGGATTACGAGAAATAAAAAACATCAACCTACACTCATCTCTCAGGTAGCCAATACCAAAAACATCAAAGTTTCAACAAAACTGTTGCCATCCACCCAGTCATAGTACACTGGAGCTGGAATACATTTTCTTTTCTTCATTTTGTATCAGTGAAACACCGCCTTCCCAAAATAAAGCAGCTACTGATCGTTGTCTGTTTTCCTGCAGAACTGCAACACTTGTTTTTCTAGTCCAACCAGCTACATAGGTTTAAGAATTTTTCTATCTACTTTCTAACAAGAGAAGAAGTCAAAATACAAGCCCTTACACTAGTTTCTATCTGAAAAGTGAAGCGATCCCTGCAAGCCATCAGAGGTGTTCTATATTACGCTCTTCTTATTTTTCCCTTTTAACAAATAAGCAAATTACTAAGCAGAAGAAAGGTAATGAAATGCAAGATAAATTTTCTGTTACAAACTGTCTTCAGTACAGAGCTTACTTTTTTTCCAGCAACCACGTACAACTATTGCTATATTTTTATTTTTGTTATCTGGTGTTTTAGGGAAAAACCATCCAGAAAGACACTTTTGAGTGCCCACACCAAACATCTACTATTTGTAAACTAGGTAACTAAATCCTAACAAGTTATTGTCTGGGGGTACAAATGACCCTGGTTCCTCCTGTAGAACCAGTAAAAACATCAATAACAACAGAATGGCTCAGACTGGAAGGAATCGCAAAGCCCACCCAGCCCCAACCCCTGCTGTAGGCAGGGCTGCCCCCCACCAGCTCAGGCTGCCCAGGGCCCCATCCAACCTGGCCTTGAGCACCTCCAAGGATGCAGCACCACAGTTTCTCTGGGCAGCTGTGCCAGGGCCTCACCAACTTCTGCGGAAAGTAATTCCTCCAAAAGTAAAAAATTTCCTCCTAAAATCTGGATAGCTCATAACATGATTTGAGCATTCCCAGCCACATAAACAAAAGCTATTTCAAAGATCATAAAATTTCACTTCCTTGTGAGTTTTCTAAAATTAGTAATTCTGAATGTTTAAGTAAAGTAACACAAAGTCAATACCAGGAATACAAAAGTTATGCTATGTCTTTTCAATGAACAAAGATGTTTGTATCAGATTTCTAGACAGCTCATTCTTCCTCTTCCTTGCAGATAAATAAACAAATTGAAATATGACTGGGGACTATGCTGACTGAAAACTAAAGATTCATCAGCCTTCCTATAGTTCATACTGTTTTCATATCTACTTATCTCTGACCATATTCAAAACATAATTATAAGCCTGTCAAAAAACATTATCAAACTTCTGACACGCTGACTGAATTTTGAAATGAAACAGAAAAAGTTAAACATGTCTCTAAAATGGAGCAACCAAACCTGCAACCACACATCAGTATACACGACACTACAGGTAAGTTGCTGTATTTAACTTTTCCTTTTTCTAGTCTGGGTCTTTACTTACATGTAAAAACTGGTCAGTGCCTGCACAGGACTTTGAAGGGCTATTCTGCAAGAGCTACAAGCACTTGGTGTTTGTCAGCCTAGCTATAAAAAGATAAAATGACATAGCCTCTATGCAGCAAGGACAATACTGTCAAAATCAGCATCTCACCAGTTTATAAAGGGGAACAGCAAGAGAAATTGTCACAGTCAAGCTGGAATGTAACTGTAAAGAACTCTTAAATCAGAACAGAACCAGCAATCTGCATGCCAGAATCAAGGTGCTCATCAAAAGATAAATACTCCTAGCAAGTCTATCCAAGTCAGGGATAACCCTCAGACAAAAAAATACCAAGTGCAGAGCCCATTTAAGAGAAGTAGGAACCTCTAACCTTAACCACTAGGCACTTCTTGTTCTGAACTTCAGCATATGGAATTGTAGAAAATATTTGAAGTGATTCACTAAACATGGAGGTGAGAAAAACCTCAATAAACAAGTGCTGAACATCTCTAAAGACAAAATGAAAGTGACATAAAATTATAATGCAATGTTTCAAAAATGATGATCTGCTAAGTACAGGAAAGCACATACTTAAAGATGGACTAATTAATACGCTTTTCATCCTCTCTCTGAAGTACAGAGATACTCCTAGTGATTAATAAGTTTCTGCTTTAAACTGGGAATTTATTAATCAGCATGGACTAATTGTAACAAACCTTACACAAAAGGCATTAGAAAAAAATCCCAGTTTTAAAGACATGGGGTTTTGAAACGACACTTTCATCTGAGTTACATACAGAAACTAAATTTTGATTAATTAAAATATGAAGGAAAGGTACTATATGCTCACAGTACAGTAACAGAGAGAGAAATTCAACTTTCCTCAAGACTTGCAGAGCTCTGGATAGGTTTCAAATAAGACGGATGTAACATGCACAGTGGAATGTGTGCTTCCTGGCCATAAACCTCTCTTTTCCAACAGTTTCCCCAAACCCTTCCATTTTCCTCATGCATCTACATTAGGGGCCAAGCAACAATAGAAGCACCTATTCCTACCTCAGAGGCAGTTCTTCCAGGGCAGTTCAGAGTAAGCACAAAGGCTACACCTTCCCTTGTGCATCCCATGTGCATGTCAGTCTTGAGGTATCAACCCAGTCACTCATCACTTCCCTTTGAAAAAGACAAGCCATCCCACTCAGATTGTAAATCTCTTTTAAAAACGCTGTAAGAAACAAAATGGCTTAAGATGCATAAAGTATCCTTTCTGTGACATGTAAAATTAAGTTATGTAAGTTATTTATGTCCCAGTATAATGACAGGCATCTTAGAAATGCCTATTAGAAAGGTTACATAAGAATACATATGACAAGTCAGTGAGTGTATCGTGAATGCTGAGTTTGCTCAACTATAAGAGTCAGCCTCAGACTGTATTTGGTACACTCACACAGGATTTTACCCTGTGCTTCAGCGAAGGATGAATTTTTATCTGTTCTCCAATCTCCAGAAAAGCATGGTTACCAGCATTTTCCCCTTCCTACACAAAGGAACGCATTTCCTTCGGATTACTGACACAACAGTTAACAAACATGCTCTTTAATTAAATAAAGAAAAATTTTAAAGCTCAGTTATGTTTTTATGTTAGCTTCAACCACAGATGTCTTTTGTCACTGGTCATGCTGAGTAACTCAGCACTCTCCAGCCAGGTCAAAAAACATTCCTAACTGCAGTGGTGAATGACATACATGTTTAGCTCTGCTTCCCTCTGCTCAACATAGCACAGTCCCACAATAGAAATTTGACTGGTTTCATTCCACTGCTGCATACAATTAATGGATAGGGCATTCACACACACGAAAAAGCTTTTACAGGTGACTATGTAGCCTAGGATGCTGAAGACATCTCTCCTTAAGTTGTAGCTCCTTGTAGCTGCCAAGAAAAATTGCAAGCAGCAATGTGTGCAGAATAGATATCAGTGATACCAAAACCAACTTCAGAAGTTAAACCTAAGCAGAACCCTAAAAAAGCACAACACACATTTTTCACTTGTGCTTGCAGAAATTTCACTGAAGACAGTTTGATACTTGAACTTCTATCCCAAAAACTCAAAGAGCTGAAATAGACTCTTTCACATGAATTTTAACCTATGTGATTGACTACAAGAATATCTGGTGATATCAGTTTTCCTAATGAAGACCTTGAATTATGCAATGAAGTAGAAATTACAAGCAAGACACTACACGGCATCTTGCAGATTCCAGCTTTTACTAGCTGGATTCATTTTTAACCCAACATAAACATCATATTAGTGTTCTAAAACAATTCTAGGTAATTAGATTTATTTTATGTCTATAGGCTACTATAGGCTTGTCAATATAAGTTATGTATTAAGTCTACTCAATCCACACACACACACAAAAATAAAAAAATGTAATAATTCAGTCTGAAATAATTAATATTTTTTATAATTTATAATACAGTCTTATCTGTATATAGATACCAAAGTAAAAATGTATGAGAAAATAATGGTAAGAAGCCCAACAAAATACACAGGGCATTAAATCCTATTAATTCACTGAGAGGTGAAAAATACAGAATTTAAAAGTTCATCTGAACACACAAGATTAATAACAATAACATAACATAATAGCACAAGCAGAAGAACTCCTAACTTGAATACCCTTACAGTTACTAGCCTGTGAGAGCTGCTTACAAGCTTTGTAGTTCTCTACCCACGTCAAATGTTCCCGAGTTTCTCAGGAACTAGAGAGCAACATTTTTTGCCTATTCTTCAACAGAGCAGTGGGAAAAGCAAGTTCTTATTTAACCTCTTAACACAACAATCATTAGTTGAATTTTTTGTCACCTCTTACAAAGACTCCTCTGATATTTAAAGTAAGTTGTTACATTTCACACTGCCAATCACTTTTGATCGTATTATATGCCTTGAGTAAAATCAAATGGCCGTGGAACTTTGCCGGATCAGGGCTTACTTCTAACTGCTGTGTAATAGCACAAATACTGAAGATACAATAAAAACAAAAACACTGCAGATTTAACAGCAGATGTCAGTTTTCATTTGTAAAGAAGAAAAATGTACTTAAAACACACAAAATCTACAGTCAGCACGTTTTGATTATATCAGTAACATTTGTCACAATGTATGCTCTACAAAAATCTCTGGGAAGCAAGAAACAACTTACGGAAAACAGAAAGAATGTCTGAAGTAAAACCTGATACAAGTGACCTTATCTTAAAATGTCTTTTCATATGAAGTTACTTAAACACATGTATTAACAACCTACCTGTTCTCCAGCCACTGTACATACTATTGCCTAACAATCAGGTGGCAGTACTTTTAGATGTTTGTTTTCTACGGGTCTACTGTCCCTCCTAACAGGACTGGGAACCCTACTTGTTTAATGGTACGCTGCCCTAGCTAAATGATGAATTCTGCCTACTGCTTGTCAAATGCACCAACCTTCTCAAAAACACTGGATGGTGTCATCAAACAAAACCTGATGTTCTGAATGATGGTGTCCGTATGCCTCCAGCGTCTTCTATCATGGCGCAGCCAGGCCTGAACAGCTTCATACAGCTCTATCTCTGGAAACCTGCTCAGATGATCATTATCCAAGTAAGACATGAGCTTTTCAAAGCTCAGATATGAAAGGAAGTCAGGTCTGGACATGAGTGGCACAAAATTCTCTAGCAGGAAAGAGTCCAATTTTTCCCTGACTCCTTCGATGTTTACACCAAAATCATCCAGAAGTCTCATAATTTCTGCACAGTTTTCTAGGCAGATTTTAGCTAAGAGAAAAGAGCAGCAAAATTTTACCACCTCTATAAGCTGGACGTACATGGCAGCCTGAAGGATTTCGTGAACAGTGTTCATACTCAGTTCAATAGTTCCATAATACATGAATTGGAGGACATGACTGAAGCCTGTAGCTGTCAGACCTTTCAAATGGATTTTGTCCTGATCTCGTTCCCGCATGTCAGCTGTGAACATAATCCTGAAGTAATCACTCTGGGTGGCAAGCAGTGCTTTATGGGCCTGAAATTGGTGGTCTTCAATGACAAGTGTGACATCAAGAAGCAATCCCTCCTCATACAGTGCTCTGAATCCAGCAGAGACACTGGTGTCATGGATGGAGGAGCTAAACCCTTCCACGTCCCCTGCCATGAATCACCTGAAGAAAAAATAAATAAAAATAAAAATAAATTATTTCTAGTATTGAACACATCACAAGCTCTTTCTGACCAGATAAATGCAAACTGAAGTTACTTTCACCAAGACTTAGAAGTCTTCCCCATCCTTCTTGTTTTCTGTTCAGCTGAAAAATTAACTTGAGACTTAGAACTGAAACTTCAATTATTTCCCACCCCAAAATATTCTCCGTTTAAAGAAAAGGTAATGAACGTGAATAACTATGAGATAACACCAAAATGATTCCTCATTTCAAACTACTCGGAGGTTAGGATAATGCATATACAATGCCGTCTTCGCCACTGTTTTCTCCCTCCCCTCCTCTATCTTTCCATAGTTATCTCAGGAAAGTAATGAAACATCCCATCTTGCGTACCAAAGGTTTAAGGAAGGAAGCAGAACTTCCCTCACTTCAAAAACAAACTCCAGAAGGTCCGTACAAAATACAATCTCCCCCAAAATGTAGTATTTTTAAAAACGTGTGTCAGTTTACTCATAAATTATTACAAGATATTATTCAAGTTTGTGTCCCATCTTTCTCAGAACAATACAGTCCAGTATTACCATTTCTTATTCTCAGCATTATTGATGTAATGAGATTTATAAACTGCTGAACACTAAGGCCATAAAAGGCACTGGCAGGATTATGCGATAATAAATGATATTCTACATACTGAGTTTGGTGAAGCTTAAGTGTTTATTAAACATTTGAATATTAATAAACATATAGCTCTGCTTCTGTGTGAGTCAACTGCAAATAAGCAAAAAAAACCCCAAAAAACAAAATAAAACATCAACACCAAAAAAAACAAACAAAACAAAACCATCCCAATGCCCTGTTAAGGAAACTAAATATCCAGTGAAAAAAAAAGCTGCATCAAAAACTACTTAAAATACAAGAACTTCTCAACATCTTGCTCCCAGTGTCTAGCTGAAGGGCAGCTCCATTAAAAAGTCTGAACTAAAAGAACAGTTTATCATCATTCCCCAAAGCAACTGTGCATTCCACTCCCCCTATCTGTCATTCTGGAATCTGAGTTCCTCCTGTCTACTCTGTGCATTTTTCTGGTGTTTCTTGGACTGTTCTGGAAAATCCATTCAACTCATAAACCTGACAGAAAATAAACTGTGGGGAATAGCAAATACAGAGTTTGGCAGCAGGACAGGACGCAAAAGGCAGGGCATCACAAATGAGCAGGAAAATGGTGGGAAGGTAACACCCTCCCTTTTGGCATTAACAATCCATTACAACTGGCTCAGCCCTTTTTTATCTTCACCCCACTTTAAATCACACTGGAGGATTCATTCAGACTGCTATTTGTGCATTTAATTACTTAATTCTGACATTACTATGACTGTTAACAATTGGAAGTGTTAACCACACACAAAGCCAAGTATCATTAAGATCAATACATGTAACAAACTGTTAATTGTCATGGCTACAGAGTGTTAAAACAGAGTATGGACAGGGAGTTGGCCAAGGTTTCGCAACTTCAGAAAGCAGTTATTCTGTTGTACCCAGCTTCCTCAGTTCTAACTGCTGCCATTGTAACTGATGTGTCTTTGATTGGACTCCATAAGCAGATGATCAGCTCCTCACTTCAATCTGCACCCATCCTGGGAAGAAAAAAGGAGCTTTTCTTTGTCCATGCAAAACTACAAAGGCAAGCGGGTGTTGGTAGCCACACCTCATGGAACACTCACCACTCCCACACCGTTGAAGCCTGCTGATAATAGAACTGTCAGGAGTGTACATGAAAACTGAGGCCTGGCAAGAAAACTCAAACTCCTCAAGGTTAGGGCAGGAGCAAGAGACAAAGCTGTCAATCCAATCACTTTCTCAGCAGTATCCATGGTAGCACGCTCTCCTCAATGTCCCCGAAGACAGAGAGAAAATTCAAACTGCTCTAGAACTACATATTTTGAGTCCCTTGCTCCTGAATACAGCATATCCCTACCAGAAAGGAAAAAAAATCTCTTTTTTACTTACTTGTTGATCATTCTTGTATAAAAGCAGGCAATTATCTATCTCAAGAAATAGCTATCTCAAAAAGAAGCAACAAAGTGATGAGGAAGCATAAAGCTTGTGCTTCCCAATAGGATGTATGATACCAAACAAGACAAGCAGTAATATTAGCATTTTTTTCTTTCATTAGAACATCTATAATACCCCCCTTTCACTCCCTGTTCTCTGATGTTGAGCTCACACTTCAATCTTTTCTCCTTATGAAATTTAACGGTCACTTGGCTTTTAATGCCACCTCCCCATTTCCATAAAATATACAGCAACTTGAGACAACTACTTCTCAGTTTAGTTTGAAATTGAACCAGGGGCCCAAGGTGAACAAGATTCTCAGACAGTACAACTGGGTAACATACATTTCCTTAGGAGACCAACCAAGCTGTGTACCTCAGCTCCAACTCCAAGATGAACTGAGGTGACAGGACATAAGGCTAGATGGAATTTGCAAGTGTTAGATGTGAACAGACTAACACAGGAATATATATTTAAAAGACCAAGAAAAGCAACATATGATAATCTGGAAGTAATGGGATCTCCCACCACAGCGACTCATGCAGGTGCAAATCTCAAGGGAAGGATTTCTTGAAAACAGAATACATTACTGCGTACAGAAGGATCATAAAAGAACAGTACCAAGAGCCTCCAAAAGACATGCTGGGGTCTTTTCCCTTGACTTTAAAAAGACTGTTACATTATATGTACTCTACAAATAAGAGGAAAGAAATTCGGGGCTTTCAAAGAGCACTTAGACCACCCTCAATGACATGAGAAGTCAGCAAGTGAAGACAAGCAGAGACAAATCTTAGAAGGTAAAAGCACCAACTCCAGAGGAGCACTTCCAAAGTTTCTTTTAAGCACAAAAACAAATGAGTATGTCATGAAATCCCCAACACAACATCAGACAGCTTTGGGCAACCAGTTCAGAGCAAGGGGCTCGGACCACACAGGTCCACTCCAACCTCAGCCATCCTGTCATACACTGCTTTTAAAGCAATTGCACTGATTTTTGTTTAATGAAAATTCTATTAAAAAGACAAAAAACAAAACAACAACAACAAAAAAAAAACCATCAGAAGTAAACAATTACCATTCAAATTTTCAATGTACCAAAAAAATAAGGAGGGAGGAATCACCAAAATGTGTTAAATAAATAAAGACAGCATTGAGGAAACACTTCTTAGGTTCCAATTTTCACATGTCCCTGAAGGCTATTACTTGGTAAAAAATATATTAAAACAGGAAGTCAGATACAAAACTCTTCAACAGAGGCAGGTAATCAACACTGTGAAATTATTATTTCAGAATGTTTCAAAAACTATGAAGTTTTAAATCATTTAATTCTTTTCACATCTCATGTATCATTTTCAGTAAATCCTCATTTTCCAATACCAAAATATGTTTCATCACACACATCAAACTGCTTTTAACGTATTACTTAAGAAGAGCCAAAAATTATAAGACCTCTCCAAAACCCATCTAAGGAAGTTTCAGAATTTTACAAGCAACATGGAAAAGAATACTCGTCTCCCTCTATTAAATGAGTAAATTCCCCTTTATTGGTACTAAACCATAACTTTATCAGAAGTTATAGTTTTCCTTACAATTCAAAAATGTATTGGGCAGTGCATTTATTTTAACAAGGGGTTAAAATAGTACAGAGACTGGAAAACTTAACAGTTAAATGCATATTATGACCAAGTGGGAGAACTCCTCATTTCTAAAGCAAGCACACTAAGTCAAAAGCAAATGGCACTGCGGCCATTTGAATAACAGAAAAGCATAACAAAATACTCACAAATGAAGCCATTTTTCTAAAGCATAGCTATCTTCATTCCTCCCACACACTTTCAATCTTAGATGTAATTCTATGAGCTATTCAAATGCTGCAGCTTATTTCCCAGAAGATAATAACGTAACATTTTTTCCCCTATTTTCAATAAAAATGCAAAATTCAAGAGTTACAGCTTTTTCCACCCGTGCAAATCACAATAGCTCACTTGATTTGAAGGAAGACGTAGCCTACAGTAGTCTGTAAGAAAATTGGAACAAAAAGAAAATCCAACCTATAAACAATGAAGGGGGAAATAAAAAATTCCAAGTTGGCGTTCTGCATTGTCCTGCGCATACTGGAGCTGATCAGTATAATGCAGTACAGGAAGGAAGATTCTCTGCTAGAAGAAAAAAAAAACAACGAGAAATACTCTTAACCTTATTCGCTTTTCCTGACATTTCTTTCTCTTTTAGCACATGATGCATTACAGCATCTATTCTGCCATGACTGTAAAAGCTCTTTCTTGGAACATCGATTTCTCATCTTTATTCTGCAGTTGTAATAGAAGTCTGAAAACCCTGTTCCAGACTATTTTTCTTGCCAAACAAGGAGAACGTTCTTTACTCAGAGCGTCTGAGGCTTAGAGGCACGAGCAGAAGAGAGGGAGGCTCAGTGCACAAGCTACTGAGGATGAAGTTAGGGAATACTCGTCTGTGGTTCATGCCCTGCTTGAGCATCTATCCAAAAGCACAATTTCCCTGGGGGCAAAAAGAAAAATAAAATGCACTGCAAAGAAGCATCTACATGTATGCAAGCTCGCATGCACTTTCTAGGGATAGAAATGTATTGTTCTAGTAAAACAGTAATATACCCCAGCACAGCATTTGAAAGGCAGATTTTTGCTATTACTTAATATCTCACTTGTGATGCTGAGACAGAACTAGCCACCCTCTTATAAAATACGACTTGGTTCATTCTACCTGCCTCCTGGAAATTCTGAGAAAGCAACTACATGAGTAAAGCTGAACAACAATTTTTCACTAAATAGTACCTACAGATTAGACAAAAAGATATTTCACTAGACATACAGAGCAGTGCTTTGGTATCACGGTACTAAAACAGAGCTTAAAATCCCAAAATCTGTTCCATCTATCCCATTCCTTTCATCTGTCAAATGCAGGCATTCCAATGCAAATTTTAAAGCTGGTACATATGCTTTCTGTAGCACCACACACAGCAAAAGCTGCTTTGAGCTCAATTCTTTGACCCAAACACTGTTCCAAGTGGCACTTTCCTGCACTAACAGGACATCTCCACATCTCCATAGTCAAATTTCACACATACATATGAAAATGCTATACATACAAGCAGAACATTTCCAATTGCTCAAACTCACCACCAGGCCTTTGCATGCAGCTAGATACACCATTAGTGTATTGACATGTTTATGCAATACATGTATCCCCACAGATTTCTCTCTCTCTTTACATGGTTTGACACTGAACTATTAAACTTTGGCCAAGCCATCATTTTTCCTCACAATTCTCCACTAACAGCAACGGTAGGAATTACCTAGAAGTGAGTAAGATCAATAATCAGTGGCTATCAAAACTTTCCATTCCTGGAATAATTGCAGATGCGAGAAACAAAATAAGTAAATAATAACCAATTTTTTCTGTATATGTAAAATCCTTCATAATTAATATGCTAAGCTTTGGGAACAATTACACTTAAATCCATCAACAATATCTGGTAGGTTCACACTACAAACTTCCTGCAGCCCAAGGTGAGTGTTCCCAAAGCACCAGGCTGCTCCAGAAGCATGGAGCTGAGCAGAAGCATCATGCTGCCACACCTCTAGAAGCTAACTCTTGGGTTCTCCTGCAAACTACCCACTGCACAAAGGATTTCTCTTACTGGCACGCATCAGATGCTGACTGCTCCTTTTACAACCTTTACCAGTGCTGCTACCTGCAAGCAATCTGCACCAGCTCATAACAGCTGTGGCACTTCTGCAATGCATCAGTTGCCTGTGAGGTCGCTGTGGTTATGCTGGAAGTATCGCCAGAACTAGCTGTGATCAAACATACTACAACTATATACAGACTGTCTCAGCACAGCTCAGTTATACATCACACTGGAAGTGCACTGTGGCTGCCTTCATGGAGTACCTACCACACTATGTGTGTTTTCTTTTGAAAACACCTCTAACCCAAAGCACACGTGCTGCTGCATGTATTCATAATGGGTAACTTTTCAACTCATACTACTCGCTGTTCCTAAAAATTGGCATCATAACCCGATTTAGTCTTTCTGTGCAGAAGGATACAAATGTGACAAGCACAAAAGAAATCAGAACCATTTTGTTTTAAAATACTGTTGTAGAGCGTAGGTTTTGCATACACTGAATTTAGACGAATACTGGAAGCTTTTATGTCAGAAAGTTCTCATTTTACAACAGTAGCCACCACAAAACAAAATGCGCTCCCCCGATGAGCTTCTAAATGAAGCCCTGCGATGATCATCAAAAGGACTCTGATGAAAGTACGTGCCTCACAAACTTTTTAAAATGCTGCCAGACATATGCAGCAGCTGTAGCTGCTTGACCAGTTTAGCCTCACCAAGTTTCTGTCTCATAAATTAACAGTAACGAGGTATACAGTAGTTTCTCGTAGTGTTATGTGCATTAAGTGGATGACGTAAGTGCACTTGACAGACATCAAAACAGTTTTGAACCATTTGACTATAAAATTAGTGCAGTTCTACCTGTACATAAAACCACGCTCCTTGCATGGAGCAAGCTCAGCCCAGTCTTGGTTGAGTTACATTTACTGATGCCAGGAACCTAGTCTGAAATATTTTTAATGCAACCTTAAGAATCTACAAGAAAAACTTGCATTGCTAATACATAAGAGGTAAACGATGGCAGTGATGAAAATAACACATCTGCCACTGCTCTTAAAGACAGGACCACCCTACCCTAAGTGTCAACATTCTTTGTTATAGATATTTGCATTTTATAACTTTATCAAATGCCAGGATTATTAATAACCACTGATTTTCTCACTGCAAAGATACTTATTACGAAAATTACGCTGCAAAAATCTAATTATATTCGTTTATGGGAGTGTTTGGGCTTTAATGGTATAATAAATGTATTAATAAATGGTAAGGAGCAGGCAGTGATATTTTAGTAAAAATAATTCTAGCTGTCAATGGTTCGGGATAATTTAGTAGTCCTCTGAGAAAATACAACTGAAGAGATTTGTGCTCTTTGTCCAAGGCACAGCATTCAACTGCACTGCCAAATACCAACTTCATTTGTCAGAAAGAGAGAAAGCTTCCCCAGACTGGCAGCTTCACAGATGAAAAAGACCCAGTACCTCCACGGTGAGCCCAGCAGTGACCTGGCCCACTCTACCTGCTGAAAGGCAAATCAGCACGTGTACATCCATAGCAGCCATAGGATGTAATTAAGGAAAGTGAAAGGAGATGAGTGACAGTGGGAAAGTTTATAGGACTTGTGGTGGAAATTAAACGCATGGGCTGGACGTTGGGAAGAGCAACAGCAAAGATGCTGACACGTGGTGGTGTGCTGAAGGGACCCGAGTGTGAATTGGGGCAGTGGCGATGGAAGTGCCGGGTTACATCTGAAGAACATCTCTACGACACGGCAAAGACAAGAGCATGCAGATCGCAGCAGTGCTGCCTTTTTATTCAGGAACAGTTTTATGGCTACGCTTTTTCTTTTAAGAGAAAAGGAAAAAAAAAAAAACCAACAAAACCAAACAAAAAAAAAACCAAAAACAACAACAACAAAAAACCTTCGTGTTTTTGTGCGACATTTACGTATTAACCAACCCAAGCCAAAGCAGCCCAGCCGCCCGCTCCGCTAAAACCACTATTCCTAACGCTGCGGATGGCCAGCGGCCGGCACCGTGCGACTGACCTACTTCAGCTCGCCCACCGACGCGCCCGCACCGGCCCGCAGCGCGGGAGCTGCCCCCAGGAGGACGGCGGCCGGGAGCCCTCAGCGGCCGCCCCCGGCCCCGCAAGGCTCCCCCGCGGGGTCGGACCGACGAGGGGAGAAAGCGGGAGGCCCGGGGGCGGCTACACCTACCTCTGGGCGGCAGCGGCGCTGGGGCCGCGGCTCCTCCCGTCGAGCCGGCGGAAAGGGATCCCGTGCGGAGCATAAAGCCGGAGGCGGCGGGCCGCGCCGGGGGGCTGAGCGGAGGGGCAGCAGCCGAGGCACGGCCGAGAGGAGGAGGAGACGGAGGAGGAAGGGGGGACCCCGGGCTTCCTCCTCCCCGCCGTCCGCGGTCGGGGGAGCCGCCCCCCGTCGCGCCGCGCCGCCCGCGCACCGTCGTTCCCGGCCCGGCCCAGCCGGGCCCGGCCTCGCCCCCGGGGTCCCGCCCGCCCGGCCGCCCCTCGCCGCGTTACCTTCGGCGCTGCCCAGAGAGGCCGCTGGCGCCATGTTCCCCCGCCGCGGGCGCCCCGCGCCGCCCGTCACTTCCGCCGCCACCTGCGGGCCCGGGACGGCGGCCGGCGGCGGGGGGCCGCGCCCCGAGCGGCAGAGGCTGCGCCGCCTTTCCCCGGCCCGGCCCCGCGCGCCCACCCCCCGCCCGGCGGCGTTCCCGTGCCGGCCAGACACCGGCCGGGCCGCATCCGTCGGCCGCGGGGATCCCGGGCGGGCGATCCCCCGGAGAGGGAAAGGCTCTCACCGGGGACCGGGAGCGGCCGCCGCTGGGGATCGGGAATGCGGTTCCAAGGAGTGTCATCTGCTTGGCTCGTCCGCGGGCGGCTGCAGGGTGGCCGCGTCGCTTCGCCCTCCCGCTCGCGGCGGCCCCTTTCAGCGCCGGCAGCGCGGCGGGGATGGACGTCGTACGGAAACCCGCTCCGAGCGGCAGCGGCCCCTCTCAGAAGCCGGCTGAACTCCTCCCCCTCGCACCTGGCAGCGGCAGGCGCCGCGGCTGACCCCGGCTGCCTCCTTGTCACGCAGCCCTGCCAGCCGCTGTGGGAACCAGGTCACAGAGCCAGGCGGGTCAGGGCCGCCGGCTACGGTTGCTCAGCGCAGCCGTGAGCAACGAACCGCACGCCGCTCCCGGCCCTGAGCGGGGCTCTGCCTTGGCCCGAGCTTTCCCTCCTTGCTTTCTGTAGCTTGCCGCTGGCTGGCAAAAGGTAAAACAACCCGACAACAACCTGACAACAACCTCCTCACGTGCTTAATCACAGAATGTCCTGACACCACACAAAACTACACGGTCCTTTGGGCTGTCCCTGCCTTCTTCAAACTATTCACAGCCTGCTACGTACCTCCTATGTCACTCACTGCTTTAAATAACAGGCTGTGCACTGCCATCCTCTCCCCGTTTATTGCTGTTCCCATCCCCTTCGCTGTCTATTTTCAGTTGCTCGTTACCACCCCCACCCCATTCTTGATTTCTAAAACAAAAGCACAACTCCTCTACGACTGCCACCCCCAATCTGAATGTCTGTCCCACCTCTCACTGTTTCACACAATGAACCTGCTGTTGCATGCACAGCTTCACAAAAAACTACCCACTGCTATTCCCACTCAGTTAACTGACCTCCCACGGCTCCCACACAGCCTACTTACTCTATACTACAGCCTGCTCCCATTCACTGACTCCTCCACACCAGTGACCTGACCTCTCTCTGCTCAGCCAGATTCATACCATTCCACCTCCTGCACTTAACTCATACAGTAAATTTGCCCCATTTCCCCAGTTGCTGTTTCAAAACCTGTTACTCATGCAACCAAGGTGATATAACCATTATCAAAGCAGCTACTGTTCCTGCCTAAGTCCCAAAGGAAAGACGTGGAATCAAATGATCTTTCAAACGATCAAACGAGTTGGAAGGGCCCTTCAAAGGACATCTGGTCCAACTCCCCTGCAATGAACAGGGACGCCTCCAGCTACATCATGTGCTCAGAGCCCCATCCAGCCCCACCTTCACTGTCCCCAGGAATGGGACATCCACCACCTCTCTGGGCTGGGCAATCTGTTTCAGTGCTTCACTACCCCTATCATAAAAAGCTTTTTTCTTATACCAAACCTAATCTCCCATTATAGTTTAAAACCATTTTCCCTTTTTCCTATAACAACAGACCCCGCAAGAGTCTGTCCAAAATACTCTCCTTTACTCACTGAGTCTATCTTCTGCCATACCAGGCACACATTGACGTCTTGTGATTTGGCAAAGAGAACCCAGAGCAGAAAATCTATTTCTCATGTACAGAATCAACACAACAAAACATCATACATCCCTCTGCACTCTTCAGACTTTTGACTTGCGTAGGACAATAAGAGTAAAAAGACTGGCAGGGCTGTTTCGGCTTTACCTGACTGTCATTTTGCTGTTTGCAGTTTGTGGTAAGCTGAGGCGTAAGAAGATCTTCAGGTCTCTTCAACACACTGCCACAGAAGTGGATTCAAACCTACCAAAAAAAAAAACCCACCAAAAAAACAACAAATAAACAAAAACATCCATCAGCTGTGACACACTTATCCCAGCATTTAAGAGCACAAAAAAAGTGACTCCTCCATAATGGACAATTTACCTGTACTGAAAAACTCAAATATAATAATGATTTTCAATCTCCTAACTAAAACTACAGCACTGTTAAACTTAGGCCCTACAGTAACCAGTCTTTAGCCTTGCATTTTTCTTCATGCTACAAATACTATCCAGTACAGTAAATCAAAATAATAAGACAGCATATGTAAAGTAAACAATTTTATTATTAAAATAGAAATAATAGATGGTGTATTTCTTCAGATTTCTGACAGAATTCTTGGGAAGGAATAAATCATTTCTACAGGCTGCTGCAAATGTAACAACTGTTTCTATACTGCCCTATCTTGCACTGCATTATTGCATAATTACAGCAGCTAAGTACCTACAGAATCCAGTATTTTCAGCTCATTTTCATCAGTGATCATACATGCCTCATGCTGAGGCAACCACATTCAAGTATTGCATCATATGCTCCATGCTTACTTTGCATGTCTTGGTTCTAAGCATATATGGTTTTCTCAGAAGCAAGGTATTTTATATGAAAATTGTATTACATCACGTAGTCCAATGGAAGATTACAAATGAAAATTTATTTTCAAGACCAAAGTGCAAAATTATTTGGTAGGAAGACAAGATATATTTTGTCATTAGCAACATCATTACTGTACGGTTTCTTGCCACATTCTTGTATTCTTTCCTTCAAAACAAGAATGCTGGCAATGCATTTGCTATTGTATATCAGGAAATACTATCAGGAAAGAATGGAAATGGCATTTGTGGAAGTGGGAAGTGACAAGTCTTGTTAAACCAGGCATACTGGTTTGGCACACATTTCCATCATCACGTTCCAATCATATTGCTGGGTGCTTGGGAATTACTGCCTTGACATAAGCAGTCAGGCGAAATCTGGGAAGCTCCACACTTTCTAGTGGGCAAAAACACTGCTGATGAATATGAATGTATGTGACACAGATGGTTACTTGTATTGAAAGCAGTTGCTCTGATCATAGAGGAAATTTTGTTAGCAACAATGTCTTCTAGGCCTGTAAGGTGTTTCCACAGAGGAGGAATCAGCTCAGTTCCCCGTTGGAGAGGGTTCTGAATTTGGCCCTTGGCCTCTGAACTGGCTGTCATCAGTGGATCAGGGATTTTACTTGATTTTTAAGGAACATAAAGCTCACTTGACTCTGAAAACAGCAGGCGCTAGCTGTCTGGAATCGAAGACTGAAGCTGTTGTGTCTTTGGGCCTTATACAGCACTCAGCCTACAGAGGACAAACTAACATGCTAACTGAAATTAATTTGCCACGAACTACATGGCCAACCATACCTACATTTGTCAATGGACAACTGCTAAACTTGTGCAGTGGTTCCATTACAGTCAATACGTAATTAGAACTAACTTTTTGAAGCAAGTAGGTCCTGAAATATTATTAGCACCACTGATCTGAGCCTAATAATTTAAATGACCACTTTTCCTCAAGTACCATTATTTCCATGTTAGGTACCAAACAAAACTGCTGGCAACTCATATCACTTACAGATATCTTCATTCAGGAGAAAAAAAAAACAAAAAACAAAACCAAAACTCTAAAAATTAGTTGCTTTGTGTTCTGCTGTTTTTGTTCTCTTTTCCTTTAGAAAAGCTCTTTGTCCAGATACAGCACAAGTGTTACAACCCACTGAAACATCTGTGGATGTGGAGCCTCTGTGCCATTTTCTGAATCTGTTTATGGTAATTTCAAAGCCCGCAGTATGGATGGATCTGTATGGATGAGCTGCTGAGTTCAAGGTAAGATTCACGAAGGGAAAGGCCGCTGGCCAGCTAACATACGTCCGGTGGCATTTACCGTTAGTGCCAATAAGCCGATGACCACCAAACCAGAGCTGCTCACTTCCACGACATACAGTCGCACACCGCTTTCACTTCACCCCCATCTCCTTTCTGCACCGCATCCCTCAAACACCCCCGACACACCTACGTTTCCATGCTGTTAGACACGCATCGACAAGCGCCGACGTCCTCACAGCCACAAGCACAGGCCAAAGCCTCCTGGCTCGGGGCGTCTCCCAAGCGGGCCGTGCCTCATGCCGATCCTCCCACCGCAGTTACTCCGGCACTTTGCGGGCACAGCGGCAGGCGGTGACCCCGCGCCCGGCCAGCCTGCCGTTCTAAGAGACGGCCCCCCGTCCCGCAGGCACACGCGGAGGCACCGATGCCGCCGGCAGCCGTTCCCGACGGCCCCATACAAACCACCCGCACCGACCCGCCACCGTTACCCGGCGGCGGGCGCAAAGCGCACGCGCGCTGCCGCCGCCGCGCACGCCCGCGCTCCCGCACGCCCGCGCCGCACCCGCGCATGCGCACGGCCTCGCTTCCCCGGCGGGTCCTGTTGCATCACCCGGCGCGAGGGTGCCGGGGACCTTCTCGGGGCCGCCCTGCGCCGCGCCTGAGCCGCTCTCGCTTCGCTGCGGGACCGAGGGCGGCTCCGCGTCGCCCAGCGCGGAGCGTCCCTGAGCTCGGGCGCGCCTCGTCGGGCGGCGAGTGCCGGGCGCGGCGAAGGCGGTGCCGAGGGGAGCGAGGGGTCAGGCGGCCGCGCGGCCGGCCCCGCTTCCTCTTGCGGCCAAGATGGCGGGGGACGAGGCGGGAGTGACGCTGGGGCAGCCGCACCTCTCCCGGCAGGACCTCGCCACCTTGGTGCGGCGCGCGCGGGGGGCGCCCGCCCGGCTTCGGGGGGTCGCCGCGGGCCGGGGGGCGCCGTGCGGCGGGGTGAAGCGCTCCGCGCCTCGCCGCGGGGCGCCGCCGCCGTGAGGGCCGGGAGCCGAGCGGGGGTGGCCGCAGCCGGGCGGCGCGGCGGGGCGCCTGTGGGGGCCGGGTGGGTGCGTGGCTGCGGGCTGAGGGGAGCGGGGAGAGCGGGGCGGAGCGCGGCGGCCTTCCGCGCGGCTGGCCGGCCCGAGGGTGCCGAGGGCTCCCGTTGTGCTAAATAGGGCGCTGCGCCTTCGGAGCGGGCCGGCGGTGTGGGCTGCTCGGCGTGCCCGAGTCGGGCGGGCGTGCTGTGCAGCGCCGTCGGGGAAGGCGGCTGTTCTTAGCGTCGGAGAATGGTTTGAGTTGGAAAGGAGCCTTAAAGGCCATCGGGTCCGTCTGCCCAGCGAGGGGCAGGGACAGCTGCGGCTACATCGGGGTGCTCGGAGCCGCGCCCGGCCTGACGGAGCCCGGTGCAGCATGGCAAACTACAGAACGTTTCGAACAGCTATACGACGTTTGGTGGTTTTTGTTTTATTGTTATTAATCTCGTCGCTATTTAAACTTGAGTTTGAATAGGAGAATTCTTTTTGTGTCCTAGCAAGTTTGCTAGTGAAGCACATTAGTAACTTCAGAAAGCTTCTTGCCTTCTTTTCCTTTTTCATTGGGTATTTTGCCAGCTGGAAAGAGCACAGCTATTCCTAATTTCGTGATCAACAGGAATTACCCCCATTCTGTACTTTGTTCATTGGGCCCTTGAAAGCCTTCAGCTCGCTGTAGCCTGTTGCTGAGCTTAACCTTATGCCAGCCTTGAAGAAAAATGGCATTTGTGCTGATTCTGTACTCGGGGAACAAGTCTCTTGGTGACGGGGTTTGCATCATTCACGGTGCTGTCATCCTGCTGCACGGTGCCCCCTGCAGGTCGTGGGCCCATCGTTGGCCTCAGTGAGCTCAGGTGATGTTAGTTGGCAAGTAAGATGTACAAAAAAATATAATCGTGGCAGGTAGAAGGAAATTGATTTGTTTTGAACCTGAACTTATTATTCATTTAATGCCTGAGATATAAGTAGGATTACATTTTTATACGGTTATGGTCAATTTTAATTATGTACAGAACCCGCTTGTGTCACAGTGTAAATATCCTGTGATTTCACAAAGCTTTATATCCTGTTCTGCAGCAAAGACACTTCATGAATCTTTGTTTGAACTCAGCAGCTCATCCATAGATTCACTGCAGGCTTTGAAATTACCATAAACAGATTCAGAAAATGGCACAGAGGGATGTTTCAGTGGGTTGTAACACTTGCGCTGTATCTGGACAAAGAGCTTTTCTAAAGGAAAAGATAACAAAAAAAGCAGAACACAAAGCACCTAATTTGTAGAGGTTTTTTGGGTTTCTTTTTTTTTCCTGAGTGAATGTATCTGTAAGTGATATGAGTTGCCAGCAGTTTTTACCATTTCACATACTTAAGAAAACTGGAATGCATAACTCGAGTTACTTTAAGGGGTTTGGTTGGGTTTTGAGAAAATACGTATAGTACTCTGAGCATTTAGATACCAAATGAATAAATTGTAAAATCTCCTTCATACAGGATGTTACCAAGCTGACGCCTCTTTCACCAGAAGTCATCAGCAGACAAGCCACAATTAATATAGGTAAAAATAAATA